AACTGCTAGTTTCTAGGTTGATTGTGTAAAAAGTTAGTAAATAACAATTATTTGTTTAAACAATTGCTGAATTAATAAATTAATAAATTAACTTTATTTTATAGTATTTGTATAATTTTCTGATTTATGTCAAACAATAAATTGTTTAAACAAATATGATTATCAATTAATTTTATAAATATTAATTGAGAATATTTATCAATTTTTACATGTTTTTCATGTATCAATTTTGACACTTTATTTTCCTAAAAATTTTTCTAAGTCATAACTGGATCTCCTAGCTAGTACCAAGTTAGGACCAGCCTAGGATATATAAAAAGGGGTTGCCAAGTTAGGTCCAAGCTAGGGCCAATAATCATTTTAGGCATAGCATGGTGATTTCTACACGGGGTTAGCTAATACTAATAACGTTAGACTAACATTAACTAACGTTAGGCTAACGTTAGGCTAACGTTACTCTAACGACATTTTTTGACCACTAATGTCAGATTATAACGTTAGTTACCATTAGTCTAACGTTAGTCTAACGTTAGTTAACGTTAGTAGCATTAGCTAACGTTATCTAACGTTAACTTTTCCACCTGGGGCCCCACTTAAATTAAGTGGAAAATATTCTTACTATAAGAATATATTCTCATTGTAAGAATATTTCTACTTAATTTAAGTGGGAAATATCCTGGGCACCTGTTTCAAAGTATATATTCTTAAATTAAGAATTTTTTTTTTCAGTGTGGTGTGTAAAAAGTAAAAACAATAAACTACGTTTTCGGACATAAAAAGTATTTGAAACTAAAAAAGAAAAAGAAAAAGAAAAGTATGGTGAAATGATGCAAGAAGTGATTCAGTGCAAAGTTGCGGTGTGCTCATTTTAAATACCTTGAAATTTGCACGTTGACGATCATTTTAAATATGCGTAAAGAGGTTGCTCGTCCAAGTGAATGAGTTATTTTCTTTATATATTATATCTGACGAGCTCTATTTAAATTTGTTACCTTATTGTACACAATATACATACGTATTTTCCTTCTCGCTTCCACAATATTTCTCACGTAATGCTAAGAAAACTGCGTTTGACTTCTAATCCATTATTCATAAGAACATTATTCTCATTACGTGAGATCTCATTGCTTTTATCGAATGATATCCACGCCCGATATAATTCTCACGTTCTATTAGTATATGTATCTATATAATTATATTATCTCAGAAGTCAATGAGTCCGAACGAAGGTGACAAGCTATTTTCATTCAATCACAAATTGAAAAGTTATTTTCATTCATGTCAAGTTCCTTTAACAGGCTCCGGACTCGATGATTAATTTTCAAAAAGTATCAAAAAGTAGCTTTAATTTTACTGAAAAAAGTAGCTATCGAATATTAACTTTAACAAATAAAAATAAATTGTTTAAGTCGATTCACAAAAATTTGATTCAGTATTTCCCTGACTATTTCCTGAGTTCAATCAAAAATATTTATTTTTATTTTGTGTCATAAATCTAAAAAAGTGTCTAAATAGTAACAAATTGTGAAAAAAGTAGTTTTTAGGTTCTAGTAGAGTTACAGCTAAAAAAAATACAAAAAAAATTATAAAATTAAAATTAGGTACAAAAAGTAAAAATTAAAATTAAATACCTGAACACTCCGCATTTCTCCTTTTAAACCAGGATAAGTCTATAATAATAAATTTACAAAGTAACTCATTTCTTTTGTTTATTTTCAGAGCAGAGCAAAAACTACATAGTCTTAAATACTAAAACACATAACATTCCGTAATAAATAAAATCTACAAATATCTTAAAAATGAATGAATTACGCTTAATATGTATCAATATAGAAAGTAATGAATTTTTTTTACCATTTACACTTATAAACATATCATGAGATGAATATTTTTCCCATACTTTTTATTCCTCATTTTGCAATATAAAATGAGAAGAAAAAAATAAATTAAAATGCGACTACTTAATTGAATTACAATTTACAAGCTAGCGATTCATTTTTTCATGATTTAATAATAAGAGAAAAGTATCTGAAAAAGAAATGTTAATAAAACAGAAAATATTTTCAGTATAAATACCATTTTCATAAAATTAAATTTTTATAAAATAAAATTTTCATAAAATGAAATTTTCATAAAATGAAATTTTCATAATATAGGAGAGAAACTTATGAATAAAAGGGTTTCTGAATCCACCGATCTGGAAGCATGTAATTGCGAAGCTCAAAGGCATGATAAGATTATAAATCACGTTAAAGAAAAATCTTTACACGATTTATTACTTCCGGAATGGATGGAGGTCTAGTAATCAAAATGCTGTGTAATAAAAGTATAAACTTTCTTTTAAACTAAAATATTTTCTCGCACTCACACATATATATATATATATACGTGTATATCACACTTATTTAAAAAAAAAATTTCTTTTAAAACTGTACATGACAATTGGCCTATAGGAAGTGAACTTAAATTGAAAGAAGTCAGCTGCAAAATTAAGGACAACAGTTGTTCACTTTTTTCAACTATTTACTGTTAACAGTAAATTATAAATAATAAAAATTTTACACATATTTTAATTTCATCTCCAATTTGTCATAATTCCAAAAGTTGTTTGGATTTGTAATCATTAATTTTTACTTGCAGTAATAATTAATTTTTACTTGTAATAATATGTAATAATTCTAATAATTTAGATTTAATTTATACACGGAGAGAAAATGTATATTAAATTTTGTAAAAGTTTTTTCAATTTTGGGAAAAAGTGCACAAAACGAAAATTTTGACATAGAAAAATACTAAAGAGTGGAAGAAATAATATAAAATTTAGTAAAGTTATATTAAAATTCTTGTTATTTGATATAATTATACTAAATTTCACAAAAGTTTTTTTAAAGTTTAGTATTTTTTACATCAAAATTTCGCATTTTTTCCCTAAATTGTGAAATACTTTTAGAAAATTTAATATAAATTTTCTTTCCACGTATTAAAGTTAGATTTATTTGAATTTTAATTTGAATTCAAATAATTAAATTAAATTAAAATTAAATAAAGATCGACTCATTACTAAATTCCTCTACTTTCTTTGAAAATTCTTTATACAAATTCACAACTATTTCTAAATACTTTTAATATTGAATATTAAAATCAGGGTTGCCACAGGTCAGGGAAATCAGGGAAATCAGGGAAAAGTCAGGGATTTTTATTAAAGTTACTGGAAAAAATGGAATTTTGGTGAAGTTACAAATACTTGCAGACATTCAATTATATTCAAAAGTAATCAAATTTTTCGCATAAATTCAATTATGTTCAAAAATTTAAAAAAAATTCCCATCAAAATTCAATTATCTTTAAAAATAATAAAATTCTTCTCCAAATTTTAATTATTTTCAAAAATTTTAATAAAATTCTTTGCAAAATTTCATTTATTGTCAAAAAATTTTCACCAATTCAATGATTTTCAATATCTACTAGTTTAATAAAATTTTTCAAAAAAATTCAATTATTTAAAGAAAAATTTTGACAAAATTCTAAGCAAATATTAAATTATTTTCATAAATAATAAGAATTTCACAAGAATTCAACTATTTACAAATTTTTTTTAAATTTCTTCGCAATAATTCAATTATTTTCATAAATAATAACATCTTTTAAAAGAATTCAATTATTTTCATTGAATAATAAAACTCATCATAGAATTTCAATTATTTTTAATACATTTTTAATTGAATTCATCGAAAAATGTAATTATTCTTGAAAATTTTATTAAAATTCCTCCAAAAAAATTCAATTTTGATAATAAAGTTCTTTATGATAATTCAATTTTGAGAAATATTCAGTTATTCAATAAATTATTTATTTTTGCATTTAAATAATTGAATTCTCGTAGAATTTTCCGATAAAAATTTATTTAAAAATGAATTTTAGATAATAATTGAATATTAAAAACATTATAGCATGAATTCTTAAAAATAATTGATAATTGAATTCTTTCGAAGAATTTTAATAAAACTTTTGAAAATAATCACATTTATTGAAGAATTTACTTAAAATAGTATTAAAAATAATTAAACTCCTGTGAAAAATTTTATTAATTTATGAAAGTAATTGAATTTAATAAATTTTTTCAATCAATTTTTTCGAAATTTTTTTAAAATAATTGAATTTATGTGAAAAATTTTATTACTTATAAAAATATATGAATTCCTGCAATAAATTTTATTACATTTTATTTAAATAATTAAATTCTTTTGAGAACTTTTATTCAAATAGTAAATTTTGAAAATATTTGAATTTCAACGAAGAATTTCATTATATTGATTAAATGTAATTAAATTCTTGCAAAAAATTTAAGAAAATAATTCCATTTTTCTAAGAATTTACTTTAAATTGGATTAAAAATATTTGAAATCCTTAGAAAAATTTTATAATTTATGAAAATAATGGAATTCTTACAACGAATTTTATCAATTTTTTTTAAATAATTGAATTCATGTGGAAAATATTATTACTTGTAAAAATAATTGAATTCCTGCAATAAATTTTATTACATTTTATTTAAATAATTAAATTCTATTGAGAACTTTTATTCAAATAGTAAATTTTGAAAATTTTTGAATTTCAACGAAGAATTTCATTATTTGTGAAATGTAATTTAATTCTTGCAAGAAATTTTTTATGATAATTTCATTTTTCGAGAAATTGACTTAAAATTGTATTAAAAATAAAATAATTGAAACCCTGTGAAGAATTTTATTATTTATGAAAATAATTGAATTCTTGCAACGAATTGTATTATAATTTTTGTAAATAATTTAATTTTTTTTGAAAAATTTTATGAAAATTAAAATTTTTATAAAACAGGAAGATATAAATTGCTCCGAGTCGAAGACTCGGAGTGATTGATATCTTTATGTTTTATAATAATATTCTTATAAGTTGTTGAATTTTAAAAATATTTTAGGGTCAGGGAGAAAGTCAAAATCAGTCAGGAAAAAGTCTGGAAATCAGGGAAATGTCAGGGAAAAACAAAAATTAATTTTTTGTGGCAAAACCCTGTAAAACGAAAATTAGAAATTAAATTAAATTGAAAATGCACCTAGAACGACAATAATTTTATTTACAAGTTTGAGGTTTCCTATGAGAGAAATAAAATGATATTAACCTCTTTTGCGTCTTTCAATTATTACTCGTGGCCGCTGAGATGGTCGAGTGAACGGACACAGAGCCAAGACCGTCCTTTATACTTTCAGCGTCCTCATCATAATTGTACGGATCTAAGTAGGGCTCAGTTTGTACGCCAACGTCCTCGTAATCAAGTTCGAGGGTGTCTTGTTCATAAATGACGTCGTGACTCCGCGGTCTTGCAACAGAAGGTATCCAGGGCTGGGGCACTCCTTTCCCAAGGGCCAAGAACACCGCTGCTGTGGTCAATAAAACGACAGATGCCACGCCAAATACCAATCGCCAAGAACCTGCGATCTAATATAATATAAAGAAGAACAAAAGGAAAAAACTATTTAAACATCTGCATTTCCTCGAAGAAATAAATGTCAATTATTTGCGAGAAAGCAAATAATTCTCTTCGTCTTTCTCTTTCTTTAGAGAATATGCAAAGAATTTAGAATAAAAGCTAGAATGTAAAAAAAATTATAATACTAAAAATTAATAGTTAACTTAGAATAAAAATTAGTATAATTAAAGATTATCTTAATAAAGATTATCTTAATAAAATATTATCTTAATAAAATACTGTCAAAATAAAAGATTATCTTAATAAAATATTATCCTAACAAAATACTATCATAATAAAAGATTATTTTAATAAAATATTATCTTATTAAAAAAATATCTTAGATTTTAAAAAATTAGGTTAATAAAAAATTAGTTTAGAATACGAAATAAAATTCTAAATTCCATGAATTACGGCCGGAGAAAAGGAGAGGGGGAAGGTACAAGACCAATTAGTGTAGTAGGAGTGGGGATAGCGTCAGTTGCGCGCGCAACTGACGCTATCCCCACTCCTACTACACTGATTGGTCCTTCTTCCCTTTTCTTTCGAGTACATAAAGAATTTTATTATTTTATAAGTTAAATTATATTTGTAGATAGGGAAAATTGCAAAAATAGTCGAGAAAAGCGTGTGGAGAATAAAATATAAAATAGGAGAAAACGAAACTGTGGATAATAATTATGTATTCTATTAGGAAAGTTGATGCTTATCATTTAAATGTATAATAACCATTCTCTTAAGTCAATGTCAATGAAATGCCTGCTCTATGTATTCATGCATTTTATTATTTGCTTAATGACATAATAATTTATGCTGATGAATTTGCAATCTAGATTACTTTACCGAGTAATAAAATCATTATTTTATATTATAATATAAGGATAAATTGTTACTGTAACCTCTTCAAAATTATTTTCATCATTTCAATTCAATTATTATTTTCTAGAATTTTTAAATAAAATTCTTCTCTAAATCAATTATTTTTAATAATTTTTCAAAAAAGTTCTTCTTTGAAAATTTTTAAATTCATTTCTTTAACATTCAATTTTAGGTGAAATTTCAGTTATTCGGGAATTCTTCAATTAAATAAACATTAGAAAATAAAAACTTGAAATAATTTTAAAAAATTTCAAATAAGGCTTTTTGAAAAAAATCAGTTCCATAGAATTTTTAATTAAAATTTATATAATTTCTTAATATAATTGAATTTCGGCGAAGAATTTTGCTTTTTATAAAGACAATTGAAATGTTGACGAGAATTTTTTGTTAAATTTTTGAAAATAATTGAATTTCTGGAAAATTAAAATAATTAAATTAAAATTAAATAATTAAAATCTTCCTCCTTCATATTTTCCTATTTTTCTGTTGGGGAGGGAGTTCGAAATAAAAAATTTGTTGTTAATTTGAATATTATTGTGGAACTTACAGATCCGTGAAGAGCTTGCGTGACAAAATAATTGGCAGCAAGTAAACCAGCCGCGCCCAGGGTGGAGCAAAGTGCACATGCTGCAGCAGCACAGGCCGGTGATTCCGCAGGCGCAAGATCGGCAATTGCCGCTAATGCGCCCGCTGGAGCGGTACCGGATACCAAGAGTGCTGCAATTCCCAACCACACTGCGCCTAAGGCTTGACAACCCGCGTAACCAGCCACAAATAAGAGGGCGGCCGGAATAAAATGCGCTAAAGAGAGAATAAGAACCAATTTTTTTTTATTCATTTTTACAATATTATTAAACAAAATAAAAAAAAAAACTCTACATTTAAGAAAATTTTCACTTTTCACAAAAAGCGATGAGCAATGTCCGACAAAATTATTAGTTTTGCGAAGAAGAGTACATTTTTGTGGTTTGAAATAAAATTACGTATACTTTTTGTTGAAACTGTATTTTAATTATTATCTGTATAGGTACAATATTGTTAGGGAAAAAATTATAATTGCATAGTGTAATTGTACAATTTATTTATAAAATATAAATGTGACGCGCTACTAAGAAAAAATGTGAATGTACTTAAGAAGCAAAGGATTTAAAGGGTTGTTTTTATCATACATTTATCTTTATTAATTAAAAGTTCTTTTTTAAGTCTTTTAATTTGAATTCACTTTCTATTGAATGTTTTGGGTACAAATTCAATAAAAATTCAGTACAAATTTTAAGATTTTAAGAAATCTTTAAACGGTTTTTAAGATTTCAAGATAATTTTAAGATTTCTAAAGATTTAAAAAAAATTTTTTAATTTTAAGAAGTTCTTAAGACTTTTTAAGATTTTAAAGGAATTTTAAGAAGTTTTTAAGACTTCTTAAGATTTTAAAGAAATTTTAGGAAGTTTTTAAATATTTTCAAAGATTTTTAAAAATTTTAAGACGTTTTGAAGATTTTTTAAAACGTTTAAAGAAGTTTTTTATGATTTTTTTAATATTTTAAAGAAGTTTTAAAGAAGTTTTTCAGACAATTTTGAGGAGTATTTAATATTTTAAAATATTTTAAGAAGTTTTTAAGACTTCTTAAGATATTAAAGAAATTTTAAAAAGTTTTTAATATTTTTAAAGATTTTTAAAAATTTTAAGACTTTTTGAAGATTTTTTAATATTTTAAGGAAGTTTTAAAAAATTAAATTCTATTTAAAATTTCCTTAAAATCTTTAAAATTCTTAAAAACTTCTTAAAATTTCCCTAAAATATTAAAAAATCTTAAAAACTTTAAAATTTAGAGAAAATTTTAAGAAGTTTTTAAGGTTTTTTTAAGATTTTTTAAGATTTTATAAGATTTTAAAGGGGTTTTAAAATTTTTAAGAAATTTAAAAAAAACTTTTTAATTTTTAAAACCTCTTAAAATCTTATAGAATCTTAAAAAACATTAAATTCTATTTAAAATTTCCTTAAAATCTTTAAAATTCTTAGAAACTTCTTAAAATTTACCTAAAATATTAAAAAATCTTATAAACTTTAAAATTTTGAGAAAATTTTAAGAAGTTTTTAACATTTATTAATATTTTAAGAAAATTTTAAAAAAAGTTTTTAATATTTTTTAAAATTTTAAGACGTTTTGAAAATTTTAAAAGAGATTTTAAGATTTAAAAAAAAAATTAAGATTTTTGAAAGATTTAAAGATTTTTTAAAGTTTTAAAAAAGTTTTAAGAAGCTTTAATGAAAACTTTTAAAATTTTTAAGATTTTTAGAAGTATTTAAGATTTTTTAAGATATTTTAAGATTTAAAAAAAAATGTAACCACTTTTTAAGAAAATTTTAAGAAAATTTTTTAAGATTTTAAGGTAATTTAAAGATTTTTGAAGACTTTAAAAGAAATATTTAAGAAATTTTTAAGAGTTCAAGATTTGAAGAAAAATTTTATAATTTTTAAGATTTTTTAAGATTTTAAGGAATTTTAAGAAGTTTTTAATATTTTTAAAGAATTTTAAAAATTTTAAGTCGTTTTGAAGATTTTTCAAAACGTTTTAAGATTTTTAAAAATTTTAAGATGTTTTTAATATTTTTGAAAACTGGTTAAGAATATTTTTAATGTTTAAGAAGTTTTGAAGACTTTTTAATTTTTTAAGAAAATTTTAATAAACAGTTTTTGAGATTTTTTAAGATTTCAAAAGATAATTTTAAGATTTTTAAAGATATATTTAAAATTTAAAGATGTCTTGAAAATTTTTGAAGACTCTTTAAGATTGTTAAAAATTTTAAGAAGTTTTAATACGTTTTGAAAATTTTCGAAGAGATTTTAAGATTTAAAAAAAAATTAAGAAGTTTTAAAGAATTTAAGATTTTTTTAAGGTTTTAAGAAAGTTTTAAGAAGTTTTAATGAAGGTTTTTTAAGATTTTTAGAAGTGTTTAAGATTTTTTAAGATTTTAAGATAATTTAAATATTTTTGAAGACTTTTTAAGATTTTTAAAAATTTTAAGATGTTTTTAATATTTGTGAAGACTGTTAAGTGTTTTAAATTTTTAAGAAGTTTTTAAAACTTTTTAATATTTTAAGAAAATTTTAAAAAGTTTTTAAGATTTTTTAAGGTTTATTTATCTTATTTAAATTTTAAAAGTTCTTTTTCAAATAGTTTAAAACAACTTTTTATTGAACATTTTTTGTATAATAAATACATGAAGTTTAATAATTTTTAATTTATTCAAATTTTATTCAATAGATTCTCTTTCTGTATTTTTATTCAAAAAATTAGAAACATAACCTAAAATTTTTTTGCAATTTAAGTACCTTCACAAATACACTTATAGTATGACTGCTATTAATTGTACTCCTAAAGTTAATATTATAAATATACCGTAGATGTCCCAATTACCGTCCATTTTTTAAGATTTCTTGTATAAAAATAAAAATAAAAATTTATAACAGTTTACAAACTGCCTCTTAGAATATAATAAGTAGTCAACGTAAACAGTTTTGAAAAAATTTTATTCCATTTGTTATTCTTAGAATAAATTTGAACGGTAACTGGGACTTAAGTCTACGGTAACTGGGACATCCACAGCATTTAGTTTTAATAATAAAAAATATTTTCTAAAAATTGTAAAAAAATCAAGATTAGAAAAAAAGACTAGAATAATAAAAAAAATAAATATTATGTTTAAAAATATTAACAATTTTATATTTTTGGATAAAAAAATAAATAAATTTATGTTTCAATAGTAAAAAATATATATATTTTTGTAGAAATGTCACTGTTAGGAAAAAGTACAAGAAATGGTAAATTCAACTCACCAGTGTAGACAACAAGTTTCCTCGCCGTTGTCGTTGATACAATCTTAGATTCCCGGACATGATCGACCAAGAGGCCACATGTTAACGCAGCGAGAAAGTGCCCAATATGGGGTAAAGTCATCAGCACTGAGTCCTGAATTAAAAACAAATTTCAAAAATTGACCAAATCTATAATATTCCTTAAAAAAATTAAAACAAATAAAAAAAAAATTCGTAAAGTTCTGGTCGCGTGGGTAAAATGTAATAACGTGGGAAATCGTAAACTTAAGGAACAATGTCCCATGAGACAGGATAAGATAGGCGATTTATAAACTCCCCCCTGTTATTTATAGAAAGTATTGTAATGTGTGATATACACGCCCGCTATTTTATCGATACTACACACCAGCCTTTTGTGAAACTAGATACGCATTGTTTCCATTTCTTTTTTACCAAATCAAATCAAACCTATCGAGAAATTTCGAAAATGTTAATTTAAAATGTTAATTTCGGAAATGTTAATTTAAAAATTTAATTTCGGAATTTTTTGTATTTATTTACTTACATTTGCGGTGGAAAAACCGTAAATGAGCTTTAGGTACTTGGTCATACCGAGGGCGAGTGTAGCATCACCCCATTGGTTCCCCATTGTTGCAACTGCCGAGGCCCAAACTGGAACGGACCTCAAAAGTTTTCCCCAAGGTATAACAGCCGCCTATTGTTTTTTTTTTTTTTTTTTGAAAAAAGTACTTAATAAATATGTAAATTAAAAATATTTAAAACGGTAGGGTTTTTAGAAAAAATATTCAATAATGACAGTTTTCCTCCGTATGGAAGTTTAAGAAAGTTATAATTTGAATATTATGAGGATATTAATGAAATACACTTACATTGGTGTCGTGTTGATAGGATCTTGGAAAGTCTTTAACAAAACGACCAAATGTGAAGTACCAACATAGAGCCAATATGGCGAGACAATAGCAGAGAGAGTCTCTTCCAAATGATCTAACAACTGCCGTTCCAATCCATCCGGTTAAACAGTATCCGACACTGACAGCTGTCAGAATTTTAAGATTTAAATTAAAGACAATTATAAAAAGTTTTTTTAAATTCTTTGAGGTTTCAAGAAGTTTTTTACATTTTATATGATTTTTTTAGATTTTAAGAAGTTTTCAAAAATTTTCAAGACTGTTTTAGATTCTTAAAAGTTATAAGAAGTATTGAAAATTTTTTAAGAATTTAAGAAAATTTTAAGAAACTTTTAATAATTTTTAAAAAGTCTTTAAGATTTTTAAGGAGTTTTTTAGAAAGTTTCGAAGAGTTCTTAAAATTTTTAAAGATTTTAAGAAGTTTTAAAGTTTTTTAAGATTTTTTTTTTAATTTTAAAGAAGTTTTTATAATTTTTTATATTTTAAGGAAATTTTAAAGAACTTTTTCAGACAATTTTGAAGAGTTTTTAAGAAGTTTTTAAGGTTCTCTAAGATTCTCTAAGATTTTAAGAAGGTTTTAAGTTTTTTTTAAGATTCTTTCAGATTTTAAAGAAGTTTTTAAAATTTTATATAATTTTTTAAAATTTTAAGAAGTTTTTAAAAAAATTTTGAAGAGTTCTTAAAATTTTTAAAGATTTTAAGAAGTTTTTAAGGTTTTTTAAGATTCTTTAAGATTTTAAATAAGTTTTTCAGCCAATTTTGAGAAGTTTTTAAGATTTTTAAAGATTTTAAGAAGTTTTTAAGGATTTTAAAGGAATTTTAAAAAGTTTTTAAGACTTCTCAAGATTTTAAAGAAGTTTTTAAGAAAATTTTGAAGAGTTCTTAAAATTTTTAAAGATTTAAAGAAGATTTTAAGGTTTTTTAAAATTCTATAAGATTTTAAGAGGTTTTTAAGATTTTTTAAAATTTTAAGAAGTTTGTAAGATTTTTGAAGTATGTTTAAGATTTTTAAAGGTTATAAGAAGTTTTTAAGATTTTTGAAGAATTTAAGAAAATTTTAAGAAGTTTTAAAATTTTTTTGTGATATTTTAAGATTTTAAAGAAGTTTTTAAGATTTTTTAATATTTTAAGGAATTTTTAAAGAAGTTTTTCAGACAATTTTGAGGAGTTTTTGAAATTTCTAAAGATTTTAAGAAGTTTTAAGGGTTTTTAAAATTCTTTAAGACTTTAAGGAATTTTCAAAATTTTTTAAATTCAGAAAACATTTTTTTAAAAAAATTTTTTAATTTTAAAAACCTTTTAAAATTTGATAGAATCTTAAAAAACCTTAAATTCTACTTAAAATTTCCTTAAAATCTTTAAAATTGTTAAAAACTTCTTAAAATTTCCTTAAAATATTAAAAAATAAAAAGAACTTAGAAATTTTGAGAGAATTGTAAGAAGTTTTTAAGGTTTTTTAAGATTCTTTAAGGTTTTAAAGAAGTTTTTTTATGATTTTTGAATATTTTAAGGAATTTTTAAAGAAGTTTTTCAGACAATTTTGAGGAGTTTTAAAATTTTTTAAAGATTTTAAGAAGTTTTTAAGGCTTTTTAAGATTTTAAAAGATTTTAAGATTTTTTACTAGTTTAAGGAAATTTTAAGAAGTTTTTAATAAACTTTTGAGGAGTTTTTAAGAATTTTAAATATTTTAAGAAAATTTTAAGTTGTTTTTACGGTTTTTTAAGATTTTAAAAGGTATTTTCAAGATTTTAAAAATTTTAAAGTAATTTAAAAAAAAAATTTTAATTTTAAAAACCTCTTAAAATCTTAAAGAATCTTAAAAAACCTTAAATTCTACTTAAAATTTCCTTAAAATCTTTAAAATTCTTAAAAACTTTTTAAAATTTCCCTAAAATATTAAAAAAATCTTAAAAACTTTAAAATTTTTCAAAAATTTAAAGAAGTTTTTAAGGTTTTTTAAGATTCTTTAAGATTTTAAAGAAGTTTTTTATGATTTTTTAATATTTTAAGGGAATATCAAAGAAGTTTTTAAGATTTTTGAAGTCTGTTTAAGATTTTTTAAAATTATACAAAGTTTTTAAGATGTTTTAAGATTTTTTAGGAACTTAAGAATATTTTAAGAATCTTTAAAGTTTTTTAAGATTTTAAGAATAAAACTGCAAATTTTTCCTATTTAAGTGTATTCCAAAAATCGTACTTACCAGCGTAACAACTGAAATACCAGCTTCTGTGTGTGCTTTTAAACCAAGTCATGGCGAGCATATGGGCTGCAGGCATTGTTGCGCCCTGAATGAATAATTTTATATATAATTATTTTTTGTGTCTTAATTTTAATTCTATAGTTAATAACACAAGCCAACGTACTTTTTTGATTTTTGATACCAAAATCATTTTCATTTTGTCCACTGAACACGATCTTCACCTTCAAAATTGTCTATCAAGTCAGGTCAAAGAGAAAACTTATCGAAAATCCCCAAAAACACCCTTTTTTGAAGTCGATTCCCAATTTTCTCGAAAACCTAACGTGCTACTCTATTTTAGAACCCTGGATCGTATTCAGCGGACAGAAATACATAGAAAACCACTCCCATGTCAAAAATGTTTCTTCAAATTTTACCCCCACTTTTTTCAAAAAAAAAAAATATTTTTGAGTTCAATAAGAAAAAATAATAAACGTACGGTGCAAAGTCCTTGAAGAAGTCGAAGGGCAACGTGAGAGGGCCCCCTCCATGCGGCTGGGACCAAAAGTGAGGCGAGACAAGCGCTGAGAACAGCCCGAGAAAATACCATAGAGGGCCCTGAACGTCCCCAAACTAAACAGCCTCCCAAGATGGGTCCAGCAACTTGGCCCCATAAAAATGCCTCTCGCATGTTGGCCTCTGCTCGTTCCTCTGGGGGTATCTTAACGGTATGTACATTGACTTTTTAAAAATTAAACTGCTGTTACTGTATATAATTAATCCTAGACTTCCTAACATGCTTGCGGCTTGAACTTATCAAATTTTTATATTTGTTAAAAATAAATTTTAGTATTAATAATGCATTGACGACAAAGTGTATAAAAAATTTTGTAATTATGCAAAATTGTTCTTAAGCAAATACAAAAAAATTAAAATTTCTCCCTGAAAAAAAGTGTGTATATTTTCTCTTCAATATAGACGACAAAGAATTGTTCCTATTTTTTTTTTGATATTACTATATAACTTTAAAGGAAAACTGTATGAGATTTTCTCACGCACCATATCATTTCTTCAGATAAACAATACGAATATTTTACGGTATAATAATCTTTGGAGAACAAATTATATTTCAATAGAAGTTAAATTTCTTTTCTTTCCGAAAGAAGAACAGTTTTATCTTAAACTTCAAAAATTTAAATAAAAATAAATATATGGAGCTGTACATAAACTACGCAGAGAAAAAAAACTATAATGCTGTTTATTGCGTCAAAAAAATATGTCATTGATTCGATAGCATTTTTTTTTCTCAGTATAGTAAATAAAATAATAGGTATATAGTATAAAAATTGAATAAACATACTTCCATTTGAATGAGTCCGACATCTTCGGTTCTATTTCGACTGCTAATATTAACGAGCATATCACAGTGCCAAGATGTATCGATGATGGCATGATTGCCCTTCTGATTCGCCAGTAAAGCAACAGAGGAACTAACTTCAACTGCACCTGAAAGTGCGAATCCAATTGCTACGAGGGTAGCAACTATATGACGTGCACGCACCGCCGCTGAAAGTAGAGAAAACAAATTTACATTTAATTGCATACATTTAGCGCCGGAAAAACAACAGAAAAATTATTTTATATCCGTTTTACAACCTATTTGAACATATTACATAATTTCAATTTTTTTATTTACTTTCTATCTCGTTCCCTTCACTCCTAACGTTTCACCCTACCACTCTTTCCATTAGGCGATTGTTTTCATTTTTTATTAAGCTTCTTTTAAACTGTGTTCAATTTTGAAATCATGTTATTTTTAAAAATGCTTTCCAAGACCGAATCTGTTAAAATTTGTATAAACTAATTTGTAATTTATTTATTTCTCTCTAAATGTGAATTTAAATACGAATCTAAATATAAATTCATATTTCTAACAGAAGTATGTAAAACAATAAATATAAACTTAATAAATACAGTTTTTCTAAGGATATCAAATTGAGACAAAAAACGAATCAAAAATGTTCCTTCGCAACAATTTTGATTCGTTTTTTTGTCTAAATTTGATATTCTTAAAAAAAACTGTGAACATGAAATATTTAAATAAAATTATATAAAAAAATTTTAAAAATAAAATATACAAAATATAAAAAGTATAAAAAGTATAAAAATTTAAAAAAATATAAAAAATAAATAAAATATAAACAAATATAATATAAAAAAAAATATGAAAATAAATTCAGGACTATTCTTATTAATATTCAAATATTACCAAGCATTTACTTATATTTTATATAAAAAGTATAGAAATAAGTACAAAAATATATTTAACAACTTTTTGAAATAAGAAAATTCCATTTTGTCATGAAATTTGGAAGGTGAATTATGGTAACTTTCCTCATAATTAGTTCAATAAAGTCACATGTTACCTTGATACACGTGCGTGTCTATGTATTGTTTGAGTTAAATCAGAATTGTTTTCAAAGATTCTTATCAAGAATCACAAATAACTGGCTCCATATGTCTACATTCATTTTTAGAAACGATATGATTACAAGCTTCACACTCAATAATTAATTTTTAAAAAAAAAGTATCAAAAAGTAGCTATCGAAAATTAATTTTAACGAATCAAAAAATTGTTTTAGTCGATTCACAAAAATTTGATTCAGTATTTCTCTCACTGTTTCCTGATTTCAACCAAAAATATTTATTTTTATTCTTATCCTGCTTCTAAATTTTTTAAAAATTCAATTATTTTCTAAATTTTTATCCTAAAAAAGACAATAGTATTTAAAAGTAATTTTTCAAAGTAAACAAATAAAATTATTTAATAAAATTTAATTTAAATTCTTCACAGAAATTAAGAAAATAAATTAATACTTTTTCAAAGTCAAAATTTAAATGTTATTACAGTTTTACATCAATTAAAAATTTTCAACGATTTTAATTTAATAATCTTTTAAAATTTAGTTATTTCTAAAAAAAAGTCGAACTATAGCGCTTTTAATATTCAATTATTATCTAAAATTTCAACTGAAATTCGTTTTTAAATCAATTCTTGTAAGCAAAATTCAACTATTTAAACATAAAAATAAATAATATTTTGAATAATTGAATGTTTTCCAAAATTTAATTCTTATAAAGAATTTATCAATTTTTCAAAAAAATAATTGAATTTTTAAGAAGAATTTTGATATTTATGAAAATAATTGAATTCTTGCGAAAAAATTTATTTAATTTTTTTTAAATAATTGAATTCTCGTGAAAAATTTTATTATTTGGGAAAATAATTGAATAATTGTGAAAAACTCAAGAAAAAATTCAAGAATTTATCAATTTTTTAAAAAATAATTGAATTTCTAAGAAGAATTTTATTTCACTTTTTATAAATAATTGAATTCCTGGGAAGAATTTTTTTAAACTTCTTGAAAATAATTGAATTTTGGCAATAAATTTTATTCCTTATGAAAATAATTGAATTTCTGAGCAAAAAATTATAATCTTTAGAAATAATTGAATTCTTTACGAGAATTTAAAAAAAAAATTATGAAAATAATTGAATTCTTAAGAAGAATTTTATTTAATTTTGTTCCAAATAATTGAATTCTCTTGAAAAATTTTATTATTTGGAAAAAGAATTGATTTCTTTTGAAAAATTTTATTATTTGTGAAAAGAATTGAATAATTGTGAAGAATTAAAGAAAGAAGTCAAGAATTTATGAATTAAAAAAAAAATTGAATTTCTGAGAAGAATTTTATTAAAATTTTTGAAAATAATGAAATATTTTGAAAGAATTTTATTAGAAAATTTGAAAATAATTTACTTCCTTCGAAGAATTTTATTATTTCCAAAAATAATTGAATTCCTCCAAAGAATTTTATCAAAATTTTTAAAAATAATCGAACGTTTTGAAATAATTTTATTAAAAAATTCCTAAAATAATTGTATTCGATCGAAAAAAAGTATAAAAATCGTTAAAATATAAAATTTTTTTTTTTCAAGAATTTTCTAAAAACTGTTAAAATTAAAAATAATTAAATTTAATTAATATTTGAAAAATTATTGTATTCTTTCTTTTAATTTAATTAAAATTGTATTAAAAATAATTGAATTCCTTCGATTTATTTTCTTATTCATGAAAATAATTGAATTTATACGAGGAATTTTCATATTTATAAAAATAATATGAATTCTTCCAAAGAATATTATATATTTAATGAGAATAATTGAATTGTTTCGAAGAATTTTATGAGAATTTTTAAAAATAATTCAATGTTTTGAAAGAATTTTAGTAAAAATTTTAAAAATAATTGAATTCTTTTGAAGAATTTTAAGATTTGTAAAAGTAATTTGAATTCCTTCAAAGAATTTTATTATTTAACAAATATAATTGAATTCCGCCAAAGAATTTTATTATATTCAAGAAAAATAATTGAATAATTCCTCCAAAGAATTTTATCAAAATTGTCGAAAATAAATGAATTATCTTTTATAAAAATATAATTGTATTCTGTGAGGAATTTTAATATTTATAAAAATAATTGAAGTCCTCCAATGAATCTTATTATTAATGAGAATAATTGAATTGTTTTGCAGAATTTTATCATCAGAATTTTTGAAAATAATTGAATATTTTGAAAGAATTTTATTTAAAATTTTGTAAATAATTGAATTTCTTTGAAGAATTTTATTGTTTATGAAAATAATTGAATTATTCTGAAAAATTTTGTTTTTTATTAAAATAATTGAATTTTTTTGAAGAATTTTATTATTAAAAAATAATTGAAAAGTTAAAATAACTGAAAGTTTTGAAAGAATTTTATTTAAAATTTTTTTAAATAATTGAATTCCTAAAAAAAATTTTTTTTATGAAAATAATTGAATTCCTTAGAAGAATTTTATTATTTATAAAAAAAAGTTTAATTTTTGCAAAGATGAATTTTATTTCATTCATTTTAAATAATTTGAATTCTTGTGAAGAAATTTATTAAAATTTTCAAAAGTAGGTAAATAAATTCTTGAGAGAAGAATTTTATTTAAATTTTTATAAAAATTTTAATTGAAATTTTAATTTCTTTCTTTTATTTAGAAGATGGAGAATTTTGAGTCTTAAAAATTTATAATCATTTCTTTCATTGTGACCCTAAATTAATAAGGCTAATAATATTAATTAATTAATTAATTAATTAATTAATATTATTAATGTTAAATACGATCGTATTTTAAATAAATCGATATAATTTTTCAAAGAATTATCACAAACCAAAGATAAGAAAATCAATATATAAAAATAAAAAAAAATTGAATCACGTGATGACACTTTTTTATCAGACTGCACTCTCTAAATCTGAATATGTGAAATTTCACTTATTGTACGTTATAAGTCGTCCTCTCGATCAATAAGTGCATATACACTTATAAATAAGTGAATTTTTCACTTATTCTGAGTGAAATTTCACTTATTATAAGTGTATATGCACTTATTGATCGAGAAGACGACTTATAACGTACAAATATGTGAATTTTCACATATTCAGATTTAGAGAGCAAAGTTTATATTCTTTACGCGAAACACATTTATCATTTAGACACAATCAATATTATCATCATCATTATCATCATCATCTTGCAAATTTCATCTTTATTTCTCTTTTTAAAAATTTTTTTCCGTCATTATTTAATCCAATTAATTTTACGAACCTCGCACTTCTTTAGCGGCTTGTTTAATTTGTACACTTCCACGCTTCACGAAACTTACACTTCCTCTCTTAACGAAGTCTGCCATTTCACAAAAACCGAGAAAACACTCTGACTAACTATTAACATCTCTTTCTCTCTCCTCCTTCTTATCACAATCATTCTATTTGATTCTCAAATCCATTATCTTACCCGACTATCATGAATAAATTATACAAGTGTCCTCGACTTTGCTTTCGACAATAATGATGCAAGATAAAGACAAATAAGGTTCAACAAATTTTTTTTTTATCTTTTCTCTCTTTTAGAAAATTACGCATCAGATAAATATTTATGTATATTAAAAAAAAGATGACGATTTTAAAGATTTTTTTTGTGAAAAGGGAGATTTCTTATTTACGGAAAAATTCAAATACGGAATTTAAATAAAAATCACTAAATTTTCTATTTTAAATTTCAGGTGGATGCGATTTTTAAACAGAACTTCAATCAAAAATCGCATCGACTTTGAAACGTAACAAACTCTCTAAAGAATATTAGTAAAAATTGTTTACTAATTTGAATTAGTAACTGACTTTTTGCTTTTGAATTCGAAAAATTTACTAATTAATAAAAGTTTATTAATTAATTACTAATTTATTAGTAAAATTTACTAATTCAAAAGCAAATAGTCAGTGTCTAATTTGTATTATTAAACATTTTTACTAATTTAAATTAAGAGCTAGAAATTTTTAAAACACCTTAAAAAATTATAATATTCTGTTGTTTAGTAACAAAAATTTTTCTGCAGATATCAAATTGAGACAAAACGTTGCTTCGCAACATTTTTGATTCGTTTTTTTGTTTCAATTTGATATCGGCAGAAAAGATGTAAGAAAAAAATTAAAATTTGAAACTTACCCCTAACTTCTCGTGCGGCTAGTCTTAACTGAACGCTACTCCGTTTAAGACGTACAAGTGCCGCCATTCTTCTTCTTTTCTTTTAAAAAGAAGATTTTTTCTTTTTCTTCTTAAAAAAAGAAAAAAAAAATTTTTTCCAACCTTCACCTCGGAAAACTCCTATATTTCCGACACATTTTACAACTTACACTCCACTGACACTGTTAGACATTTGAAAAAGTAGATCAATCTGTCCTAACCGGCGCGTGAGGACTGGTCATCGAAATTACGAGTGAATGAACATCTCCGTTAACGAGACTTGATACAATAAGTACCTTAATGTTGCGGGTCAGCCTTGACTAGATATATATACATTATCGTTCATGACGCCTACCTTTGAACAATGCATTTCACACGCTGTAGATTATAATAGTCGAAAACATCGTCTATTTTATTTATAAATAATAGGCTCCGGAATTAGATATAGAATTTTGTAGGTTGTAATAGAATAAACAGTAATAAATGATGAGGGAAAATTATTCGAGTTATTTCTATTGTATTGGGTATGATAGGGGTCAGACTTGACGAGAAATTAACGTAAACTTCCGACAAGCATATACGTTTCAAAATAATTGTATTTTTCAATTATTTTTTAAGTTTGTAATTTTGTATACTTATGTTTTTTGCAACACACGTTTTTATCAGACTTATACTAATAAGTCAATGTTAAAGAATTTATTTTCAAACAATTAATAAAAATTACACAGTTTTCCTGAGAGTATCAAATGAATACCAAAGTGGATCAAATTGATACAAAAAATTTAGATCAATTTATAATTTAATCCATATTTTTGGTATCAATTCGTTGCAATTTGATACTTTTAAGTTAACAGTGTGATTGCTTATAATTATAGATCTTAAACTTTAAAAATTTTCAGTAGTACAAGTCAGTCAAAATCAGAGAATTTTTACTTTTTATTTTTTTAACTAGTATAGTCGATTTCTACTATCCGATAAAGTAAGTAGTTGTAAATTTGGATCAGTAGTACGGGTCAAGTGCCAGATTGGAAGATTTTTCTTCAAATCTAAAGAAAATTAAAGCCATCTGCGATATTTGGAGAAGTTGCATATTTTTAATATTTATAAACATTTAAATAATATAAACAAACTATTTTTTTAAAATAAATTATATAAAATTTGTTCTTTACATTCTTATGATTATAATAATAAATGTAATAATTATTCATTACCACAGTAATTGTTACTGTCCCATTTATTATTTTTCAAATTACAAAATTTTTTATTTTCACTATTTTCAATTATAAACATCAATTTTTTAATAATTTTAGATTTCAAATTTTTCAAATTTTCTTATTAACTACATAATTAACTATTATTTTTCGCAAGAATTCAATTATTGAAAAAAATTTTTTTAATAAAATTCTTTATAAGAATTAAGTTATTTTCAAAAATTTAAATAAAATATTCTTTGGAAGAATTCAATTATTTTTATAAACCGTAAAATTCATTGTAGGAATTCAATTATTTTCATGAATAAGAAAATAATTCGGTGGAATTCAATTATTTTTAATACAATTTTAATTAAATTTAAAGAAAGAACACAATAGTTTTTAAAAATATTATTCAAACTCAATTATTTTCAATAGTTTTGAGAAAATTCTTAAGAAAAAACATTTATTTTTAAACGATTCAATAAATTTTTTCGGATGACTCCAATTATTTTCAAAATTTTTAATAAAATTCTTTCAAAACATTGAATTATTTTTATAAATATTATAATTTCTCCAAGAAATTCAATTATTTTTTCAAATAATAAATTTTTTCACAAGAATTCAATTATTTAAACAGAATTAAATATAATTCTTCGCAAGAATTCAATTATTTTCATAAATAATAAAATTCTTCTCAGAAATTCAAATATCTTTAAAGAAAATTGATAAATTCTTGAATTTTTTCTTTAATCCTTCACAATTATTCAATTATTTTTAGAAAATAATAATAAAAAGTTCTTTTATAAATTTAATTTTTTTTTTTAAATTGATAAATTCTTGAATTCTTGCTTTAATTTTTCACAATTATTTAATAATTTACCCCAAATAATAAAATTTTTCACGAGAATTAAATTATTTAAAAAAAAATAAAATAAAATGTTTCTCAAAAATTCAAATATTTTCTTAAATAATTCAAGTTTTTATTTTTTTTTCTAGTAGTCAATTTCTACTATCCAAAGAAGTAAATAGTTGTAAATTTGAATAAGTAGTAAAAGTCAACTTTAGACAATTTTTTGGGCCCAAGTAGTAAAAGTTACCAAGAGTCAGACTCACGAATTTCTGAAAAATTTCTAGTGGTACAAATCAGTTATAATCAGAAAATTTTAACAATTTTAATTTTTCTTTTTTTTTATTAGTAGATTTCTACTAACCGAAGAAGTAATAGTTAAATTTGGATCATAAAAGTCAATTGGACAATTTTTTTGAATAAGTAATAAAATAAAAATTTTCTCCCAGTAGTAAAAGTCAGTTATAATCAGACAGCATTTCCTCTTTAGATTTTGATTCTCCTTATTAATACTAATTCTACTATTGTAGAAACAAATTCGAGTAAATTTTAAAATCAGTAGTACAAGTCAATGGAAGACAAATTTTTAGCCCAAGTAGTAAAAGTTACTTATAGTCAGACGCACTAATTTTACTAAATTTTCTACATTATAAAACAAAAATCTCAACTCTTTTTGTCAAAAATCGTTTAGATCTGTACTATTTTTAACTGAATTTTAGTCATGGCAGTACGACTTTAAATCCTAAATTTATGACTTATTCTAAACTTTTTTTTTATTTAAATTCTTGCAAAGATTTTTATAATAAAATTTACGAATAATTGAATTCCTTCAAAGACTTTTATTATATTTATGAAAATAATTGAATTCCTGCAAAGAATTCTATTAAAATTTTCAAAAAATCTAATTAAATTCTTTTCAATAATTTCTTAAAATAATGTTCTTTTTAGAATAATTTTAATTGCAAATCTTTAAAATAATGAAATTAAACAAAGATTTCGATAGATTTTACTATTTATAAAAATAATAAAATTGAATTTTTTTTTTTTTTTTTTTTTTTTTTTTTGAAGGATTTATTAAAATTTTAGAACTTTTTCGAAAAATATTATTGAAAGTTTAAAAAAAATTTAATTCTCCCTGAAATTTTATTACCAATTGAATTATTAATTAATTGAATTTTTGCAAAGAATTTTTACTATTTATAAAAATAATTGATTTTATAACGATACCAAAATGTTAATCAAATAAAAAAAAATTAATCTAAAATTTTTTTATCAAATTGTGACACTTTAATATAAATTTGATAAGTAGGTATACTTTCAAGAAAACTGAGATTTTTGTTTTTCGAAACTAGATCAAAAATGATTTTTTAATTTCAAGTTGTGGGTGAAATGGGGGGGTGGGGAATAATCAAAAAATTCTTCTTGTAGATGGCGCCACGTTCCATGTCGTCTAAAACTACTTTATTTTCAGCAGAGATTTTTCCTGTATAATCACTAAAAAAAAAAAAGAAATAGACACAAGAAAAACAACTTTTTTTATTCGTAAAAAAAAATTTTTTTAAGTAAGAAAATTTATTATGAGGTATAGAAATCGATTTTACCATTTTCCCCATTCGATGGAGAAAATTGGGCCCAACGTCAATAGATTGCGCCACGCATTTGGGGCCTGATATTCAAGTATTTTCTTGCCACAAGAGAGACATTCTCCAAAGAATATAATATAGCGTACCATACATATATATACAACAAAGCAGAGAGAATTGAGTATATAAACAGAAACTGTAGAGCATTTTGTAGAGTACCACCACGAGACTTGTGAGTTGGGGGGCCCGGCCTTTTTCCACGACCCAACCTTACCTCGAGTGAAGTTCGAAGCGATGCGATTGGCCAAATCGTAGCCAGGTCAAACGGCACACTTCATCGGTTGGCGTGTAACCACGCTTGCTGGCCGTTTCAAAGTCATTTTGACTTTTTTCGTTATTGTTACAAGAGCGCGCGCTTGCTTGTGTGCAAGGTCACACTACACGCGATACTCCAAAATAAATTAAAAATAACAACAAATAAAAAAAGGGAGGGGGAATATTTTTCAAATTTCCTCGTATTTTCATTTAGAGAATGAAAAATTGAGAAATGATAATGATTTGTTTTAGTGATTGATAAAATATAATATAATGTGCATTCACAGGAAGACGAACGCTGTGAGAAGCGATGTTGTTATCCTTTCGAATTTCTATCGCGGAAAGAGAGGTGTGCAGTGATATTGTTACCGATTGTTTGTCGGTGTGAATATAATTGTGATTTGTTTTATAGTGCTGAGTGTGTGAGTGAGTAAAATACTTGGGAATTTTTTGGATTTTGGATTTTTTCCTCTTTTGGTATTTTTCAACTTTATTTGGATAAATTGAAAGGTATTTTTTATTTTTACATTGTAAATTTGTTTCAGATTTTTTAAATTTACATAAAAATTTACATTTAAAGATATTTATTACATAAAGATCAATTTTAAGAATCTATTCTAAATTCTATTGTCAAAAAGAAATTTATTTGATTCAAATAACCGATTAATTGACTATTTTTAATTAAATATTTTCTTGAATCAAATAACTTAAATTTTATTTTTATTTTTTTATTTCATTAAATGGTATTTGAACCAATAATTTCAGTATTTAAACTGCAAATATGAATTAAACCATTTAATTGACTCCAATAAATATTATTTGATTCAATTAAATATTTAATTGATAAATAGTCAAGTAATCGATTATTTGAATCAAATAAATTTTTTTTTCAGTGTAAGAAATAATTTAATAATTTAATTGACTCCAATAAATATTATTTGATTTAATTAAATATTTAATTGATAAATAGTCAAGTAATCGATTATTTGAATCAAATAAATTTTTTTTCAGTGTAAGAAATAATTTAATGTTTAATTATTGTTATTCTTTTGTTGTTTTCTATGTTTATTATCAAGTTCTCTATAATTTCGATTATAATTTTATACTTTTTGTTTAATTTAATTTCGAATCGTAAATGTTGAAAAAAAACTTTGTTTACAATTTAAAAAAAAAACAAAAAAAGAAGAAATTTTTTGAAAGAAAATTAAAATTTAAAAAAAAAAAATAATTGAAACTTTTAAATAGAAGTTGAAGAGGAAAAATAGTTGAGAAACTGAAGTTGAAAAGAAGTGAAAATTTTCGAAACAGAAATTGAATTTTCAATGAAATTGAACTTAAAATGTATTTGAAAATAATGTGAGAAAAAACGAAACCGATGTATTAGACGATATTTTTTCTCATCATTAAATTTCGAGTTGAATTTTGAAATATTTGCATATACGAACAAAAAAACCGGTCAAACTGTTTATATTTTTTGCTCTTAATCTTTGAATTCCTTTTGAAAAAAATTCAAACTAAAGTCAAATTTCCCTATTTAAGCAAAATTAAAAATATTTAAACCAAATATTTGAATTTTAAAAAAATATTATTTTTCGAATTTAAAAAAAATGACACTTTTTTTAAAATTCAAAATTTAAAAAATTCTTTTTTTTTTAATGTTTATATCATGAATGGAAGCATTGTGTGAAATTCCTCTTTCACAAATAAAATAGTTCCGTATCTTGGAAATTTGTAGACATTCCACGATATAAAGGTGATGGATATATTACAAATTCCTTGAAAGAAATCAGGATATTCTTTATTTTATTTTATTTTTTTTTTTTTGAGATTCGCTCTAAAATTTCTTTTTATTCGAAGAAATAGAAAATCACGTTCAAGATTTCATATTTTATTTATCGATGTCACTTGTTTCTATATATATAAAGTTGTCATATCATTTAAGTTTAATAACTATTTTCAAGTCCAGTTTAGAAAATTATACGTTACTCTCTCAACAATCTTGGTAAATACTTCACTAAGTAGAAACGATTTTACATCGCTTTTTCCTTTTTGCCGGTAACTATCAGTTATGCTATTAGAAATTCATTTATTTATTTATTTATTTACAAAAAATTTACAGAGGAAAATTTTAAAAATGTCCTTTCGAATAAAAATGAAATAAAATTGGACAAATTAAAGTTAAGTAAAAAAAAGTAGGTAATAGAATAAAAATTTTAAAATTGCTTTATAATTTAAAACTTTACACATTCACCCCTCGAGTGTTCCGATCTATTTTTATTTTTTTATTTTTTTTTCGATTATTTCATTGTGGAAATTTTAATAATCAAAATGATTATATTTAGAAAAACAATTGAATTGATTTGAAGTATTTTATCAAAAATTTTTTTAAATAATTGAACATTTTGAAAGAATTTAATTAATATTTTTTAAAATCATTTGGTTTCTCTCGACAAATTAAATTAAAAATTTGTATTAAAAATAATTGAATTCCTCCGAATTATTTTCTTATTCATGAAAATAATTGAATTCCTACGAGGAATTTTAATATTTATGAAAATAATTGAATTCTTCCAAAGAATATTATATATTTAATGAGAATAATTGAATGGTATTGAAAAATTTTATCAGAATTTTTAAAAATAGTTGAATGTTTTGAAAGAAATTTATTAAACATTTGGAAAATAATTGAATTCCTTTAAAGAATTTTATTATTTATAAAAATAATTGAATTCCTCCAAAGATTTTTATTATTTAAGAAAATAATTTAATTCTATCAAAATTTTTGAAAATAATGGAATTCTAGCAAAGAATTATTATTTATAAAAAGAATTGATTTCTTCCTAAAGAATATTATTAAAAATGTACTGATAATAATTTAATTATTTTGAAGAATTTATTTGAATTTTTTTTTTAAATTTTCATTAAAAATTTCTTAAATAATTGAAATTTACAAAGAACTTTAATAAAAATTTTTGCAAAATAATTAAATGTTATGAAAGCATTTTATTAAAAATTTTTTAAATAATTGAATACCACCAAAGAATTTTTATCAAAATTTTTGAAAATAATTGAATGTTTTGAAAAAATTTTATTCAAAAATTTAAAAATAATTAAATTTCTTTAAAGAATATTATTTATGAAAATAATTGAATTTCTCTAAAGAATTTTATCAAATATTTTGAAAATAATTGAACGTTTTGAAAGAATTGTATTAAAAATTTTTAAACTAATTGGATTCAATCAAAAAAATGTATCATTCAAAACGTTTAAAAATAATCCATTTTCCTTAAGAATTTTATTAAAACAATTAATAATAATTGAACTTAATTAATATTTTTAAAAATAATTGTATTCTTTCGTCAAATTTTATTAAAATTCTATTAAAAATAATTGAATTTCTCTGAGGAATTGTAATATTTATAAAAATAATTGAATTCCGCCAAAGAATTTTATTAAAACCATTAAAAATAATTGAATTTAATTAATATTTTTAAAAATAATTGTACCTATTCTTATAACAAATTTTTTTAAAATTGTTATAAAAATAATTGAATTCCTCCAAATTATTTTATTATTTATGATAATAATTAAATTCTGCGGGGAATTTTAATATTTATAAAAATAATTAAATTCTTCCAATGAATGTTAATATTAATGAGACTAATTGAATTGTTTTGAAAAATTTTATCAGAATTTTTGAAAATAATTTAATGCTTTGAACCAATTTTATTAAAAATTTTGATAATAATTGAATTCCTTTGAAGAATTTTATTATTTATGAAAAGAATTGAATTGTCCAGAATTATTTTATTTAAGATAATATTGAAATTAAATATTTTGATGAATTACTGAATATTTTAATAAAATTTTTAAGAATAATTACAATTTTTGGAGGAATTCCATTAAAATTGTATTAAAAATAAATTAATTCCCCCGAATTATTTTATTATTCATATGAAAATAATTGAATTTCTCTGAGAAATTGTAATATTTATAAAAATAATTGAATTGCTTTAAAGAATTTTATCATAATTTTTGAAAATAATTAAATGATTTGAAAACAATTGAATGATTTGAAAATTAAAAATTAATTAATTAATATTTTTAAAAATAATTGTATTCTTTTGACAAATTTTTATAAAATTGTTATAAAAATAATTGAATTCTTCCGATGAATGTTATTATTTATGAGAATAATTGAATTTGTTTCGAAGAATTTTATCAGAATTTTTGGAAAGAATTTTATTATTTATGAAAAGAATTGAATTATTTCCCTGAATTTTATTATTGAAGAAGATAATTGAATTTCTCTAAAGAATTTTAACAAAATTGATGAAAATAAACAAAATTAATTTATATATATTTTTTTTGAATGATAAATAATTTTATTCTTAAATATTTTTTATACTTTTTTTTAGATAAAGGTTTTCTTTTCGCAGAAGAAAAAACATAAAACTTTCTAATTTGCTTTTTTTCCTGGTGGTTGATCATTGTTTTTGGTCAAATTTAATTATTCTTAAAGTAATAAGAAAGAAAAACGAAGACACTCAATTATTTTCAAAAATAATAAAATTCTTCGCAGAAATTCAATTATTTACAAAATTTTTAAAAATTCTCTACAAAATTTCAATTATTTTTAGAAATAATCAAATAATAAAATTCTTCCTTCGAAATTAAATTATTTACACAAAAATTTTCCTCAATTTAATAAATTTCAATATTGATTTTCATAAAATTTTCCAAAACAATTCAATTATTTAAAAAAGATTTTAATAAAATTCTACACAAACTTTTAATTATTTTCAAAAAAAATAATAAAAATTTCACAGGAATTTCATTATTTACAAATTTTTACATAAATTTCTTGGCAATCATTCAATTATTTTCATAAATAATAAAATTTTTTTGGGGATTCAATTATTTTCGTAAATAATAAAATTCTTTTTAGGAATTCAATTATTTTCGTAAATAATAAAACTCATTGTAGAATTTCAATTATTTTTAATACAATTTTAATCAAATTTCTCGAAAAATGTAATTATTCTTCCAAAATTTTTTAAAAATTCGTTAATAGAATACAATTATTTAAAAATTTGTTGATAACGATTCTTTATAAGAATTGAATTTTAAGAAACATTCAACTATCGAATAAATTATTTACTTTTTTATTTAAATAATTGAATTCTAGTAGAATTTTCTAATAACAATTGATTTTCATTTTATAAAAATGAATTTCAGTTAAAATTTTAGATAATAATTGAATATTAAAAGCAATATAGCGTGAATTTTTAAAAATAATTGAATTTTCAAAAGGTTGCAGATTAAAATCTTTGAAAATTTTAATTTTTCATATTTTTAACTAAAAATTCTGTGAAATTAATTTTTTTAAGAAACTTTAATTGCGGATTTTTTTTTTTGAAATTATTTAAATTTTTTATTTTCTAATATATATTTAATTGCAAAATTCAATTATGTACTTTCATAAATAACAGTATACATCACAAGAATTC